TGGACAAGGCAACCTTCATCCCGCACCCATCCACCTTCCCACACTCCCTCTCAAAAACTCCGATCACAGCGCTCTCATTCTTGAACGCTCTCCCTCCAACTCTCAGCAACAAAGTAACTCTAATCTCACCGCCGCTTTCACCGTTCACCTTAACCCCACAATAATCTCTGGCTCTGCATCTCATCATGTCATAAACCCTCTCCCTCCCCTCCCTCTCCAGCCCCCGCTCAAGATGCCGAAACTCAACCGCCCTCTCGAAACAAACAGCACCGTCCCCAAACCCCTCAAAATCCTCAATCCTGACCTCGTCCCCAACTGTAGCCTCGGCCAGAGTCTTGACCCAATTGGCCATTTGAGTCCTGAGCTCACCCCAATGGAACAGAACCCATCTCTTCGGCTTAACGCATTCGTTCCTCTGATACCAACCTACCCACGGGACTATCGTCGACAGCCCGTGCCAGATGTTGTTGTAATCGTAGTAAGTGTCGGAGACTACGGTTAGGCCCTGTAGGAGCGTGGAGTTGTGTGGGAGAGCGTTTGGGTACGCGAGAGCGTAGGAGTTCTTCGAGCCATCGCGGTGGTTGTAGGGGTTTAGGCAGAGGAGGCGGTTGAAGGGAAGAGGAGGTGAGAGGGGGCGTTAGGTTGATAGATGTCGTCGAGTGAGGACATGAACCAGTACTGGGGGGAGTCGGAGAGGCGAAGGTCTTTGAGAGGGAGGAACGTGATCGAGTTGCGGAGTTGAGAGAGGAGAGCGCTGGTTGAGGTTGGGGTTGAATGTTCTGTTGTGATGAAGAGGGAGAGGAATTGTTGAGTTGAGGAGTTGGATTGGAGATGGAAGAGGATTAGGAGGAGGGTGACGAGGGTGGTGGAGATGAGGATGAGGCAGAGCTTGAGGAGGTATGAGGGCGGATTGCTGGTGGTCATGGTGAAGATTGTCTTTTGATTTGAGAGCTTTATGGGATTATATCACTCAAGATTTCAAGAGAGAGAGCTTGCCGGGAAAAGGGTGAAAATTTCACAAAAATCCCACCCAAGTTTGTTTCATTATGAGATAACCCTCAAAAAGTTGGGGGTTATCAGAAAAATAGATTTAGAAAAATATGAAAGTGTTAGAGACTATGCCACGTTTCCAAATTTTTGATGATTTTCTCAAAACGGTCAAATTCTTTGCAGGGTTTTGCGAAAATACCAAAAAAAAAAAAAACATTAGAGGACGCCCAACGAAGCAAAATGTCTCACATGAATCTTGATGCTTATATCATTAATGTTCATTAGTATAACTACTAGTATTGTATGTTGATATAATTGTAATTACAGTAATAGTCAATACTTTGACAGGCAAATGATTGCACTAATATATCAAATGTTCATCATCATCTTCTTTCATTCATGTACCATGTGATATTCTATAAAGGGCCCTTCATTAGTGTTCTTTTTTGTTGACTTTGTAAGAAGTGAAGGTAGAGAATTGTGGAGGTGGCTTTCTTAATTAGGCTTGGTCAACGGCGTGCCTAATTTAGAGGTGAAGCTTGATCCTCCCACTTGTTTTTTTGTAATACTGCTTTGCGTAATCGTTTTCAATACTTGAGAGTTTTCAACTTGAAAATGAGAAACACATTCAAAAAGGTTAGATTTGAAAAGAAAATATTTTTTTAGTTCAAAGTTTCTTCAATATTCAAAGGCACCCTGTATATATTATCTTTTCTATTTAGGTGGTGGTTAATAGTTTTCAATAAGATTTCAATTCCTAGAGGTCTGTTGTCCTCCATCAGATCATCATTGAGTAAGAGGGTCAGCTAGTGTTATGTTTTGATTGAAGCCCAAATTAGGCGAAGAATGCCAAATCACGCCTCTTCGCTGTATTTAGATGAGGACTCGTGCCAAGCATATAAAAATAAATTTTTTTATTGACAGTAGCATAAATTAGGTCGCAATTCACTGAACTTATTGCATCAGTGCTGGATATCAACAATAAACTTGCACGCTGGAGTCTGGAGGAGAACAGGACTAAAATAAACACAAATATATGTTCCTTTTAGCAAATGATGACGAACTACATGTTCATCATAGATTTGAGAACCTTCTCATTTCCGGTATATTACTCCCCATTTTCATAGAATCCTTACCGTACAACAAGAATGAAATCTTTATCCGGTCAAAATTTTGAAGCTTGCTGCGTGAATTTTACTCTTCCACTTCATTTTGTTGAGAGTTGTCTTTCTAAAGAAAAGAAGATAATTGGAAAATTTCAAAATTTACATTTCTGGAAGTATTTTTTAATTCAATCGATTCTTTTTCTAAATCTTGTTTTTACAATGGATAAAAAAAGCACCTATATAGTATAGACACATTAGGTTTTTTCCGAGGCAATCCACATTTATGAATAAATGCGTATAACAAACGATCCAAGACAGAAATGAGAAAGTATCCAGTGGACTTGGTTCATGACATTAAATATGCATCATGGAAATGCATAAAACAAAAGATTCAAGACATAAACGAGAAAGTATCTAGTGGATTTGGTTCATGTCATTAAATATGCATCAAGAAAATGTCAACCATTGGACGGACCACGGAAACTCCTTTTCGCATGACTCAAAACCACAGCCCTCTCAAAACAAACAGACCACGAAACTCCTCAAAATTCTCAGTCTCAACCTCATTCTCAATTGCACCCTTCGCCAAACTCTTAACCCAATTCCCCACTTCAGTCCTAAGCTCACCCCAGTGGAACAATGCCCATCTCTCTTCGGCCTAACACATTCATTTCTGCTTATGCCAAGCTATAAAAGGAGCCTCCGTAGATATCAAGCGCCAAAGATCTGTATATGATCATAGTATGTTTCGGAGACTACAGCTAGGCCTTGTAATAACGTTGAATTGTACTGGGGCAGTGTTCGGGTTTGCGAGAGCGTAGTAGTTCTTGGAGCCATTGCGATAACCGCGAGCATCAAGGCAGAGGAGAGAGTTGTTAATTAGAGGAAGAAGGATAAGGGAAGATCGAGGAGACGAAGAGGGGAGTTTGTGTTGGGGATTCGAAACAATCAATCGAACCCTTGCCCTTCCGGACCTTGTGTTGAAAGTAGGAAAGTAGGAATAAACCACAAATAAAGATCTAACCTTGTAAAAACAGTAAAAAAGACGAACACACAGATTTAACGAGGTTCGGCAACGTGCCTACGTCCTCGGGAGCCACACCACACAATCTTTCTATTAATTGAAGAAGAAAATACAAGCTCTCAAACAAGGGGTAAATCTCTCTGAGATTCTCTCTCACTTTGCAGTCAAAAAGCTTCTCTTTTTGATGTAGTACAAACCCTAAAATCGTTTGGGGTATATATAGAATCCTGATTGAAACAGATTCCTAAACAGATCAGGAAACTGTCTGGGCGATTCGCGGTCGACTGCCGTGCCAAGGCCGGTCGACCGGCCAGAGAAAAATCTGTTTACAGGGTCCTGTGCACATTTGCGGTCGACCGCAGCGGCCACGCCGGTCGACCGACCAGAGCGAAAACTTCTTCTCAGTCTCCTGCAGTGCACGCGGTCGACCGGCTCTGCCACTGCGGTCGACCGCACAGTCTTCTGACTGTTTTCTTCGTCTTTTCGATTGCAGCTTTGGGTCTACACACTTAGACTAACAATCTCCCACTTGGAGACCAAAGCGTCATCAACGAGCTCACCCGAACTCTCCCCTTCTTCGCATGTATCTTTTCCCCCGAAAAATTCTTTCTTCAATCAACATCCCGACGATCGCGCCGATCCTCGTAGTGTGGCTCCGCCTTCGTCTTCTACTCGTGAAGGCCAACTGAAGTTGCGCACAACTCCAGTTTCTCAATGGTGACTGCCTTCGTCAACATGTCCGCCGGATTTTGACTCCCCAAAATCTTCATTAAGTGCAACTTTCCGTCCTCGATCAGCGAGCGTATAAAATGGTATTTAACGTCGATGTGCTTCGTTCTGGCATGATATACTGGATTCTTGGCAAGATGTATAGCGCTCTGGCTATCACAATAAAGAACTCCTCTCCCTTGCTTCAGATCCAACTCTTCCAAGCACCCGTTCAACCAGATCATCTCCTTACTTGCTTTAGTCACCGCGACATACTCAGCCTCGGTTGTAGACAAAGTCACAATCTTCTGCAGACGTGAGACCCAGCTCACTGCTGTCGACGCTAAGGTATAAACATACCCCGTGGTGCTTCGCCTCGTATCATGATCACCGGCGAAGTCCGCATCCACGTATCCCTGCAGCACCAACTCCTTCCTCCTGAAACATAGTGGCTTGTTCGTTGTTCCCCTCAAGTACCGCATTATCCACTTTACGGCCTCCCAATGCTGCTTTCCTGGATTGCTTGCAAATCTGCTCACAACTCCTACTGCATGGGCGATGTCCGGCCTCGTGCAAACCATTGCGTACATGAGACTCCCAATGGCTGAAGAATATGGCACCCTGCTCATATGCTCTCTATCTGCATCTGTCTTAGGCGATTGCTTCTCAGATAACTTGAACTGACTTCCAAGGGGTGTGCTAACAACTTTAGCATTCTGCATGTTGAACCTCCTAAGTACCTTCTCAATGTATTCAGCTTGGCTCAAACTCAATGTCCCTTCAGCTTCATCCCTACTGATTCGCATCCCTAGAATCTGCTTCGCTGCACCCAGATCCTTCATTGCAAATTCCTTTGCTAGCTGCCTCTTCAAACTGTTTATCTCTTCTAAACACGGTCCTGCTACCAACATGTCATCAACATATAATAACAAAATAATGAAGCTGGACTCGAACCTTTTGAAATAACAGCAATGATCCGAATTGCATTTTCTGTAGCCATTGTTTTGCATGAAGTTATCAAACTTCTTATACCACTGTCTCGGAGCCTGTTTCAAACCATATAAGCTCTTCTTGAGCTTGCACACCATCTCTTCCTTTCCTTCTTCAATGAAGCCAACAGGCTGCTTCATGTAGATTTCTTCATCCAAGTCACCATGAAGAAAGGCAGTCTTCACATCTAACTGCTCAAGGAAGAGGTCTTCTGCAGCTACCAAACTCAACACCACTCTGATGGTTGTGAGTTTCACAACAGGGGAAAATATCTCCGTGTGGTCCACTCCTTCCCGCTGTTGAAACCCTTTCACTACTAATCTGGCCTTGAATCTCTTGCTTCCATCACTCTCCTGCTTGACCCGGTAGACCCATTTATTGTGCAAGGCTTTCTTCTGTGCAGGTAGCTGGGCTAACTCCCATGTCTCATTAGTGAGTAGAGAATCCATCTCCTCCTGCATCGCATGCTCCCACTGCTGAGATTCACTCACTTGCACTGCCTCTTCATAACACTCCGGCTCTCCGCTATCTGTT